TTGGCCCCCCCTCCAGCAGGTGCCGCCCGCAGCAGGACCCAGGCAGCAGCTGGCTTAGGCCCAAGCCCCCTGGGGCAGGCTGGGCCCCCCCGCCCCCTGCCCAGCTGGGAGCTCCCATAAGCTGCAGCCTCCCTGGGCCCCCACTGCTCCCTGGGACCAGCCTTCAGAGCAGAGCAGGGCAGGGCAGGGCAGGGGGCTGCCCCACAGTCCAGTCCCGGGGCCAGTTCTGTGGGCCCGATTCTCCTGCTCCGGCAGGCACAGCCCCCCAAGCCACCTTCCGTGAGCAGCACCCCCTGGGGTCACACAGCTGAGCCCCAGGCCAGGCGCAGCCAATCCCTCAGCCTGGGGCTCAGCTGGCCTGACCCGCCTCCCCCGGACCCCCCCTTCGGGCCATGTCGGGGGGTGGGGGGGGCTTTTGGAGCAGAGGAAAAACAAACAGCAGTGAGGCCGGGCTGGGGATTTTCCTTTCCTGGGACCATAAATCAAGGCCGGTGGCTCAGACTTTTCCATGTCAGCTCAGCTCTTAAGCCGTTGGAAAAACGGCCCTGGGCTGCGCGGGGCAGCGGGCGCGCTGGGCCGGGGAGCACCTGGCAGAAGTGATGCCGACGGAGCAGCTGCTGCCTTGGGGCGGGTTTGTCCAACTCCTGCAGGGCAGGGCGCAGGGGGGACGGGCTGGCCCAGAGAGCAGGGCCCTAACCTGGCTGCTGTGCTTTGGGGGGGGGGGGGGGAAACGCGGGGGCGGGGTGGTGAGGTCCAGCCAGTGAGGAGGCCGCCGTGGGTGGGGGACAGTCCGTGCAGCCCCCGGGACCGTGCGCAGGGCCTGGCTGGCCAGGGCGAGGGCTCAGCCCGGGTCGGATGAAGTCACCCTGGGCCTGGATTCCACACTCGGCTTCACCATAAAAGGGGGGATGCTGGGCCAGGCCAGTGCCCACGCGGCCCCAGCCCGGGGACGGGGAGCCACAGGAATGCTCGCCCGCACCGCACAGCAGGGCTGGGGAATTAAGGCCGGCATCTCAGGCATCCCACGGAGCAGCCACTTTGGGGCCGGACAGCCGGCTGCACCCAGCCCCCCTCCCCCGCGGGCGGGCTGAGCCACAGAGGGTCTGCTCCTGGCAGGACATCCCATGCCAGGGAAGCGGGAAGGGGGGGCTCAAGGCGCTGGCAGCAGGAGGCAGCCCCCTGCAGTGCCCGTGGCAAGCAATCGGCCAGCCCAGCGCCACAGAGACAGCCCTGTTTATTGTAACAGAGGCGGGACCCGCTGCCGGGCTGACCTCGGGAGAAACAGACAACCCAGGCAGGGGTACCGCCAAACGGGGGCACGGGCACCGCCAGGACTCGGCACCAAGGGCGGCCTGGGGGGCAGGGAGCAACGGCAAAGCCAGGAGCCGAGGGGCTGGCCCAAGCCAGGTGTGGGGACAGCAGGGACACGGCCCAGCCTGCCTCGGGCACACGCGCAGGCGGGGGGGGGTCCCTAAGGGAGCAGGACCCCATGGGCCAGGTCTCCCCCCCGCCAGGCCCTTACAGCAGGAAGGGAAGCGGGATGACCTTTGCCCTCTGGGCCGGGCGGGGTGGGGGTGTGGCCTGCCCAGGCCCCGCCGGCAGCAAGGTCACTGCCCGTCCCGTCTTCTCATTGATCATCTTGCGCTCGGGGTTGAGACGCTTGAGGATCTGGGCCAGGACGTTCACCGTCTGCTCGCTGCTCAGCCCCGTCTTCTTGGTCTGGAACTTCTTCAGCAGGTCCTTGGTGGTCATGGGCTTGCGGGTCAGGTAGCGCCGCACGGCCTCCTCCGTCAGCTGCACGTCCCTGTGGGGGGACAGGGC